CTTTTTTTTTTTTTAGCTAACTTAGTTAGTTGTTATTCTTGGCTGAATAACTCTAGAAGATTTTAAAAGCCCTTTCAAATTAAATATGTACACAGTTTGGATTAAATGAATGTATAGTCAAATTTTTTAATTAGCATGTTTTTGTGTTTTGCTTTGGCACCGAAATTGGTACAGAGAACCGTGGATTTTCACTGGTATTGGTACAGAATACTGAAATTTTGGTACCGTGACAACACTAGTTTGATCTTTGGTTGACAGAAAGGGGTGTTTCATTCCCCACCACATGTAGAGTTCGAATATTCAAGCTGTTTATTGATTTTCTACCCCAGAATGCAAAAACGAAAAATCAAGCCGAATCTTTTGAAAAAGTGAAAAACGGAAAAGGCATCATTTTCTGATATTTATATTTTCAATATTAAAACAAAAATCAAATGAACGAATGATACACAAATGAACAACAAACTACTGAAGATGACAAATAGACGTGTGCGTTGACGAGTGCATTTGTGAGGGGGTTGAGGTATAGGCCTACACTGTAAAAAAAATCCGTAAAATTTACAGTAAAATACCGGCAGCTGTGGTTGCCGGAATTTTACCGTAAAAAATACGGTAGCAACGTTTTAGGTTTTACGGTTTTAACTTAAATTTACAGTTAAATACCGTAATTTCATTAACTGATATAATGTTAATATACCAACCTACTGAAGTACTGAAATCTGTTTTGTACCTTTGTAATACACTGATAACCACCAAATGCAGATGGTGATGAGAAAGTCACATGATGAACCGAAGCCCATCACAAGCAGCTTTTAAATAATAACATATATAGAAGGTGCAGAAGGCACAGTGTCATTCACACAAACGCTAAATACCATCATGGTAACACACATGAAACTGAAATAATGCAATAAACATTCATTTAACAACATTAGGTGTAACACACAACCCTAATATACAAAACTGATAAGAAAATACTAAGAAACATAGTTATTTCAACAAAAAAACATCAAATTTGAAATGTAACGCAGGGAATTCTGGGAATGTCAATTTACGGTTATTCACTGTAAATTATACGGTATTTTTAACTTCCAAAAACGGTATAATACCGTAAAATTTATGTCCAATACATGTAATACAGTATACAGTTTTTCACCGTATATAGTAGGGGAATTTACCGTTAACCATTTAACAGGTTTTTAATTTTTATAGTCTTTTACCATTAAATTCACGGTCATTTTTTACAGTGTACACACAACTGTAGTTTAAATGAGTACAAAGACATCTTTATCGCTCATAACTTCTGGAGTAAAAGAGCCCAGAAAGATGAAACTTACTTGTGTGCATATGTTGAGTACCTGTGTCCATGCACACTATCAAATGGAGTCTACATTGAAAGTCATAAGTTCCCAGAAAAA